TGCCCATTGTCACGGTCGCCGTCTTACTGGTCGACATAACAATGGCGCAATCATAAACTTGATTTTATCCACTAGGATGCCTTGCTGTCGCTTGTGGAGCTACTCAACTCATATTGACTTGCAGGCCAGCCTCTATTATGTATTGTTTACGTACCTTGGCCCGAAGCACCAGGTGGAAGGCTTAATCGGATTAATCTGTATGTTCTCAGTCTCCTCATCCCCAAAGCAAGCTTTGAAACACTCTTCCTTGCTCGCGAATCACGTTAGCCAGTCTACTACTGCAGAAGGCGTGTATCCTAGCTGAATACCGTAACTGCAGAGCAAAGAGAAAGCTCAGTGCACCATAGGGTAGGGACAGCGTCAAACCCCAACATTTTTTCACATTCTTTGCAGCCTCTTGCGCCCAATATATCACGACGCCTGGGCCATACTCTGCTCCCGTAGCTCTCTCGATGGCTGCAAGCCCATGAAACGAGAAATACACGCTATCCAGGTCTTTTGTTGTGTACAGGGCTCCAAAAGAGATGGATATATCGCTCATCGGCCTTAGAAGGTCTGTGTTGATTATGTCGGTCAAATATGGTCTGCAGCGAAAATTCACATTCGCGGACAAATCCGCAGGAGAAAAGTTGTGGATGGCTCCTTCCACAATAGAAACATCAGGAACATGATCGATTCGGAGGCCCAGGCCAGAGATCTAGTTTTTCACAAAGTCTGACCCTCCTCTAGGGCCTTCTTGGCCGCCTGCAGGCAAATCGCCACTGAAGCGTGGCGACATTTTCAGCTGACCCCGATCTTTTCAAGTCTTAATTAAGGGAGCCACCTCGTGGAACGTAGCAGACACTTTATTGCTGTGTAATTTACGCCCTCTAATGCCAAGTGAGCTGACTGTGCTCCCGAAGTTCACCGCGGCCAAGTGTCGGCGCCCCCGCGTGACTGCCAGGAATGCAACTTCTAATTGTTGTATTTGTCTTACTTTCCCTTCAATAGTCTCTATTTATGCCAATTATCACGGGAATGTGATGTGCAAGATGCCCAATACCTGAAGCAGGCATCTCTGCCGCCCCTCACTGGATAATGGAAACGGCTCAACACAGCTCCCACAACCCACCGATATTGTCATTGGGTTGCCATAGTGCATACATGAAGGCCAAATACCGCGATTGAATGCCTCGGCCTCTCTAGACCGGTGGTCTTCGTAAGCTGTGTGACCTAAGTGCACCAGGAACAGCACCTATTGTTACTGCTTAGGAGGCATCCTGAGATGTAGAAGAAGAGATGCATACTGTGAGGCTGGTCCTTAGGCGCACAGTTACAACACAAAGGACAGCATTGTCGCATGTTCGGAGGGCTATCCGTGCGACCGCAGGTGTTCCTACAAATGGCTGCACGCATGCGCGACAGGAACTGAGTCCATGGGTGGCCACAGTGGCCCGAATTTCTACCCCTCTATCACAGCATCTGCAGCGACAGCAGCTGAAACATCGGTTGCTAGCTCACTGCTTCCACAGTGTGGCCAGGGATGATGCAACTGCTTCCTCAGCAGAACCAGCAGAAGCTAGAGGAGATCCTGTGGGCGAGGCGCTGCCTTTGTCCACCCAGCAGGCTGCGTCCTCTCCAAGAGCCAACGAAAGCCGTGATTGTTGTGACTCGCCCACTGCTGCTAGCACTGATGGAGCGTCTGCTTCAGACACTACGGCCCCGCATGTCTCTGATTTGGAGGGTTCTCGCGGGCACCCTGCCTCACAGAGCACGAAAGAGTCTGTCAAGCCCTGTGGGAGACGTCGAAGGTTTTCTAGAGCTTCACGAAGCACAGCAAGCGCCTGTAGCAGCAGCAAGAGCAGGAGTAATAACGGTGGTTGCAAGGCCGTGGGTGGCGAAGATGAAAAAGCTGGCATTCGTGTGTTAGGCAGAGTGCGGGGCCGGGCAGCACGCAACTGTCTCAGGGCAACAGCGGCGTGGCTAGGGGCTCTATTGCCTCAAGGTGCATCAGCTGCAGTGCCTGGAGATTCTGCTGCTGCTGCGATTGCACTGCTGGCACGGGGGGGCCGCAGGGGTCGGGCCGCTGTTCCACCTGGCTTAGGCGGTGGCACTGGGACTGTCTCACCTCAGCATGGAGCAGTGCTGCAACAGGCGGCACATGTGGAAGCGCAGCGAGGAATGGCCGGTACTTCTGAAGCACAGTCGACGGAAGACGTGGGTGCCGCAGCAGCCGCGGCTCCGGCAGCGACTTCAGACACAGGGACAGATACGGTAGCAGGCTCAACTGAAAACACCGGGCAGGTAGCCGCGACACCTCCTTTAGGACGCCGACGACAGGGGAATGTCAGAGTGCCTCTGGGGTCCCCTGGTGCGGCTTCTGTCTCTGGAGGAGGTGCCATAGACTTCCAGTTTCCTGTTTTGTTCAATGTGGCTATCAAGCGGCTTCTGAAGCCGCTCCTCCGACGAGCTGGGCAGCCGCGGCGCCGGGTTTGCAGCCGAGTAAGTCTATCTTCAGCTAGTTCAGTAGCGGGGACAGCAGGAATGCGCAGCAGCCAGCGGCCCCCCCTTCCACCTCGGGTTTTATTGCGATCTTGGAGGCCCCTTAGCCGGGCCCAGTCCTTCGGAGGCCCCAGACAGTACATTCGAGCAAGGCAGCAGCAGCATCAGATCGTGCAGGAACAGATCCAGCAGGAGATGGGAGCTGCAGCCATCGAGGAGCCGCCACAGGGCACTCTGGAGCACACGAAGGCGGTGCAGCAGCAGGAAGGTACTGCCCCTTTAGTAGCTGAGCAGACAACGCAGGACGGGGACCAGTTGCCACAACAGGAGCGTCCGGAAGAAGCTACGTCCTCTGGGTCTGGTGAATGTAGAGGTGCAGCCAGCGATGTGCTTGACTTTCAGGATTCTGGCAGCGAATTAGGGGTGCAGGACCAGGCCAGCCAGAGGGTCACTGGCCCGCCGAAAGATGCTACAAGTGCAACAGGAGTGCAGCAGGCGCGTCAAGAGGAAGATGAACAGAAGCAGCAACAGAAACAGCAAGCTCAAGCGCAGCAGGCGGCGTCTTTGGAAACTCTCCCGTGTGGTTCCACGGTGTCACCACGGGGGGCAGTCGGCCGTGGGGCATCCCGTGTAATTCCACCTCGTCAGCCCCTTCGCATGTGCTTTTTGCGTGAGCGTATTGCTAGGCTTTATGGACGGCTCCGATACCTGTTGGCTCCGTATTGCGCTTCTATCTCCGAGTGGACATACAACAACGGGAACGTAGTAGTAACGGTTGGGTCTCTTTTGTCTCTAACGGCTACCCTGATGGCTGATATGCGACTGCTTCGGACGTTTAATCTTTTGGCAGGCCTCTGTTACTTTTCGTACAACTGGTCTCGGCGGCCCCGCCTGACTGACGCTGCGCTGTGGAATATCGTGTTCCTGGTGCTGAACACCGTAATGTTGTGGCGCGTACACACGGAGCACCGGGAAGTGGTTTTCAGCTCCGATGAACTGGACATCTTCCAACGATACTTCCTTCCTGCCGGAATGAGCCCGAGACAGTTCCGACGCTTACTCAGGCAGGGCACTTGGCGAACGTTACCACAGGGTTATGTGTTGCAGGCTGAGGGCAACACGTGTAGCACGCTTTGTTTTGTGGCGCGGGGAGCAGTCGATATATCTCAAGGCGGCGAGACAGTGGAGACGTACCGAGGCGGGGAGACAGGTGCAGTTGTGGGGGTTGAACCGTTTTTATCTTACATCGCGGCTTTGAGAAAGCGAACAGCAAAGAGTGCCACTCCAGCAGCAGCACCACCCCCTGAGACATTTGCGAGCCACGCAGACGAATCTCCAGATGGACTCCACCGCCATCAGCAGAAGCCACCTGCTGCGACGGAGGCCCAAGTGCCCCCAACACCCCATGCAGAGCAGCAGCAGCAGGGCATCTTTGAAACAGGGGCTGCAACAAACAACAGCCAAGCCACTGAGAATACTACAAATGACTCGAAATCTAGTGCAGAGTCATGCGCTTCTGCACCATCAGCTCCCTATAGCAATCGCCAAGAGCAGCAGCACATAAGAGCTGAGATGCCGATAGTGGAGACGCCGGCAGAGGGAGCCAACGCAGGGACAGTCTTAAGAGATGAGGCTGCCTCTAATATGTCGAAGAAGGACGCTGGGGAGGAAGCCTTGTGTGGTAATAGCATCGTCGCTGCAGCTGCAGAGGCGGCGGCTACTGCTGCAGCTGCGGTGCGCACCGTTGCAGCCACAGCCCTTTCAACGGAAACCCTGCAGAATCCTGAAGCACCGAAATGTACGGAGTCGCCCACCACAACCTCGGTTGTCGCCACTGACCTAACAGAATCGGGGGTTGCAGGTGCTGTAGGAGGCGCACGAGAGGTCTCCACAGCTGACGTAGGAGCTGCTGCAGCCACTGCTGGTACAAGTGGTGCGGTGGTCACCAATGAAGCAGGAATGAACAAGCCGCCAGGAGTCCAAAGAGGGCAGCTACTGCAGCTGTTGCAAGAGCGTGGCGCTGCACCTAAGGGGGCTGGAGATGGCATAGAGAGCCCTCGGGAAGACGGGGGAGTAACGGCTCCCTTCACGGCCACCTGCATCACGGAGGCCACAGTTTTTGCTCTGGACTTGAAGGAATTTGCTGCTTTCGTTCTGCGGGAGCCCGAGAATCTGGGGTTCCCTGTGGTGCAGGGGCTCACGACACTGTTGGTTAACCGTTCTAAAGCTCAGGCAGCACGGCTGGCCCTTCATAGTTACGATGCCTTTTTAGCGGGGGTCTTTGCCGACGGAGTGGTGCAGACGGACGAGAGGAAAATGCTGGAGGAGTTTAGAAGGAAACGTGCCATCAGTCAGGCACAGCACGAGCAGGCACTTGCCCGCCTCGGTTGGACGCCCGAGGAGTTTGAACGGGGCTCTCAAAGGGGCACCGGGATATTTTCGCGGATCGCCGTAGGCTTAGGGGCTCTCGTGCTGGGCTCTCAGGATGCCGAGGATGCCTCAGATATCGGCTTGAAGCATGTGCACCAAGACAACTCGTCCAACCCAATCCAGCTGGAAGCCACGACACCACGGGCTCCACCACCCATTTTTGAAGACTGGGAAATCGTCGAAGACGCCAGAGCCGTTCCTCCGCATCAGGTAGATGAAGGGCAGCAATGCGCGGCTACGCACATTGCAGATTTACAGGGGGCGACCTGCTCCACACATAGCTTAGGCGATGCTGTCTCCTATACATTCGAAGCAGAGGCAAACGCACCGGCATGAGCCCTGAGGATAGTCTCAGGAGAAGTGACAGTAGTCTGTTGTGATGGCTAGAAGCCGATATACGGGATGAGGGCTGAACGCAGTTGCCGCGCTGCTCTTTTTACGGTAGAGCGATGTTGCGGGCAGGGATGACTGGTCGGTAAGATGTGCACTAGTTTCATTACCAAATATTTACCAACACCGCATTTGAGTCAGTTGCGAAAGAGCTGTTCTGGTAAGACATGGCATACTAGTCTTTGGAGATGAGGACCGTGCTGTGGCAGATCGAAGCTATTACTGTTATATTCAAACGCAAAGCGTTGAGTCTGAATTATAACCTGGGAGTCGCGGAAGGCCGCCACTACATTCTAATGGGGCAGGCTCTCCGACATGGAGGCTCCCTAGGGGTGTTGTACGGCTTAGTCATGCACAAACATTATTTTTATATCAGTTGTATACATTTGAATTCCTGTTAATGGTTAGGGGTGTAAGAATAGCCCATTCCAAGCAAAGACGTGGAACCTATTCGGCAGTGGATTCCGGCCTTGAGTAGGTTAGCTGCGGTTGCCAAAAACCAGAGTCAGCTAGGCCATGTGTATCGGGCACTGTTCCAAGGAAGGGATTTGTTCATAGGGAACTTCAGTAAAGACGGGCTTACTCCTTCCCCATGGGACCACACGCGAGAAAAGCCACATAGAGTCTGCACTTTTGCATGACGGACTAGCCTGGAGGAGCGGAAAAGGCTACGACTGTGCTTCTAAGAAAAGAGCTGTTTAGTTGCTACGTGTCTCAATTGTGGTCATAAATAGTTGGATCAATCCCGTTTTTGCTGGTATGCGAAAAAGTAGGTAGTAGCCGGTGCACTTGGCCTTGTCACAACTGGCGATGAACCGCATACAGCATACTGATGCAAAGTGCCTCTGCCTTCTCACTGCTCGAACTCGTAGCATTTCACATCATCCAGCCAATATGCGGACCTTTCTACGTAAGCACGCACGCAAGTTCGTGATCCCAGTTAGGACCTCTGGACCGCATGCCGGAACTTTCTACATTTTAGTCGCTTTGGTCATACGGCAAGGGCAAGCTCAGAGGGAGTATAAACCGTCACAGTTTTGGAGACTCCACTTCAGGGAGTGGCTGGAGCTGTCAGGGTAGAGTGCAGCTACTCATGCGCAAAAGATGCATTCCCGTAGGTATGCATGGTGAAGCAAAACCAAAAAGCGGTCCCAGTAGGTTTGCTCAACAAACTGAAAAGCAGTGGGAAACTGTCACAGCTGAAGGCAGTTCCTGCTTTTTAGCTACTGGTGGAATCCAAGTGAATCTATTACGCGTGTTTCACGGAAATCGTAGAGGAAAATAACTCAGCGGATTACCTATTCTAAATTATTAGACGATGCAGAAAAAACTGATCAGAACGTCTTATATAATACGGACCTATGCACATATTTCATTGCCAATGAAAAATGGTAGCACATTTTTTGGCCCTGAATAATGGCTTGGGAATGCATAGCATTCTGTGGAAACTGTTTGACTAGGAGCCCTCCGTGCAAAGGGACAGTCATTCTTCGATGATCCAGATATCCGTTTGCTCCAAAGCGAGGAGTTGCACTCAGTGAAGAATCCCCTGGTAGTGGGAACACTGTGGACAACGCCAGTTTGGGATATTTGAGCAATGCTTCTCCCGATGCTCGTTCTGCACAGGTACTGTGCTTCGATGAGGCGGAACTCAGCATTTAAGCGTCCCGAGCTGAGAATGCACACATGATGTGTGCATCGAAGTGGCAACCGAAATTCGCGAAGCCGACGTTTTTCGTGATTGTAAAAACATTGCTAGGTCGATACACTCGTAATGCCCAAGACAGGTACAGGCACGGTATCAAACCTGGTATATTCTGGGTGCGCGCCAGACATCATAGCCACTCAAGTATGTCTAAATACCACTGCTTCTGGATAGTATGATGGCATGAAAAATTCGTGCAATGTTTGTCGACTGCTAAATGCTGCAGCTACATACCGCTGGAGCTGGTTCGCAACTACGCCTACACCTTGGTGAGGCAGTTATTCACACATGCGTAGAAAGCTCCATAAATGATTATACGGCTTCCTTGACGGAATGTGCACACCGAATTATTTGTGCTTGGGATTAATCGTCTCACTCCTGCAAGCTGCACGGACATTCGGTTCTGAGGGTCTACTCCAGCGTGCCAGACTCAGACTGTGGTGCTAGCCCTGTTCAGTATACATGTGCTTGCTTCAATAAAATATAAGCTGAATACACTGAGAACCAACCCTTCAAGACGTTGTATTATCGAAAATAGGTGCACATCAGGTTTTGCATATGGATTTGAAGGTATGGGTGCATCTTCTGCAGTTTATTTCTTGACTGCCGTCGTAAATATTGTGTGAAATAGCCTAACACGCGTAAAAATTCCTGAATAGAGCCTCTTTTCTTACAAAAAGCCTTCTTCATAGGCAACGGGGCTGCGCCGAGTTCCACTCGACCACGGTGCCTTTAGCTCTTCTGTAAGTATGCACAGTATAATGAGGAGCGCAAAGCGAATAATTGTGACCTTTTAGAGTGCAAGACACGTGCATGTCTCACAGATCATTCCCTATTGCATAATCCTAAGCTTCGTATACGCGGAAAATCTTGAGGGTACCAAAAATAGACTGATGAATTATAAGGCTTGATGGGTCAGAAATTTTTTCAGTTCGCCCATCGACGCAAAGAAGAGTGTAAATGTAGATCAAAGGGCTGATGAGTTGAGTTTCATGGGAAAGGCGAGTTATCTCATCGGCTCTCCAATGGACTGGTCGTAGATAAACTTCGAGGCACCGATTTGTAGGCATTGCGAGTAGCACACCAACAAATCACAATGTCCATTTAAACAAACGAGTCCAAGAAGCAAAGTACCGCAAAAAAGCTTGAATTGGGTTTTTTGAAGCTTTGAGCCACATAAAGTCTTGTTTTTTCCTGTAGATGGGGGTTGGCAGTGGGCACTGCTACTTCTATGCACGTCGGAAGCTAAGCTCTATTACTCCTCATTCTCATGTGCAGCCGAGAATCTCAGCCATGTGAGTATGTTACAAAGCTTATTCTCACCTGAAAATTGAAGATAGGGAGGGCTTGTCTGCTGTTTAACTGTCATGGCTAGACACGCAGAGCCCAGAATGCTCACCGCCGGTGACTAGTTCGACTGGCTCCTTGTCTTGGCTTGCCGTGCCTACTTTTCCTGCACCTGAAACATTTTACTATCCTCGATTAAAACATAAAAGGAGGGTACTTACCTTCTTTTTTGAGCAATGAAGCCATTAAATTTTTCTGGTATTTGTCCATAGAAGTGATCTAGACCTTGACCATCCTACATACGATCGATTTTTAGATCTCTTTTTATCCTTCATGTGTCGCTGAAATTATGCTTCAAGACCACAATATTGAGCTTGAATTACTCCAAAGTATCTTTAGACCGTGCTCAACGGGTAGCATTCGGAGTAACGTGTTTGCCCTCCTCCCTGTCCACGTAACGCTTTCATCCAAATCCAGCTGAAGCGACCAAACGAGCTTGCTCTTCCAAAGATCTAGAAGGCACGAGATTAGACTACTCGTTTTAAGCGACACACGAGCATCGGGCTACTGGCACAATAACGTCTCTGTGGCTACATAAGGTATGTCGGCCTCATGAATACAATTGATACCCTCAGCGACGTGACCTTGGGGTTGGCGGTGCTTAAAGTTCCAAGGTATAGGTGCTTGATTGCTTGCTAACCTTTCATATCCGCTCTTGTGTCTTTTTAGCTCTGGTTTCAGGTACTTTCGCTACCCTTTGGAGCTAAGACAACAATGGAGACGCCCATTTCTGTGAGTGGGCAGCGACATGGGAGATCCCCAGCTCCACAGCCTTCACCTGACCATGCTCATGTGTGCCACTTCCTGCTTGACCGCTTAGAAGCAATATACAGGACGGATCGGTATCGCTTCTACGTCTTATACAACGCCGCATGGCTAGAACTACAGCATGTTATGCACGTTCTGGAATCAGTAAGAGAGCCATGTTTTCACTACAGAGAGCGAACCTTTGCGAACCTTCACTACTCAGTTCATACTGGCGATCAGGCCCTACGCAACTTCTACATGAGTGTAATGATGGAAATGGACACGAACATGCGGAGAAGGCGGGAAGCACAGAGGCGCCTAGAGTACCTACTACGACTAGTGAACGAAATGAATACCCGAAATGAAGCAATAGAAACTCAGTATGTTGCATTAACTGATGAACTACACAGCACTGGTTTACGTGAAGCATCTCTAGACACCGGCACGGCTGAACGGTTAGACAAGCGACTTCAAGATATTCGGCAGCTTGCCAGAGCAAAAGTCCACGAGCAGGAGGACACCAGTTTTGAAATAGGAGCTGTCAGCAGAATGGAGACTGAAGCGACATGGCAGCTCGTACCCACTACCTTGGATTTGCATATTGATGTGCTTCCTGTGCGAAATCATAACGCGGCCCTCTGGACCCTCACCAACTGCACAAGCAATAATTCGAGCACGCGCAGTGGAAATACAGATTCAGATGAATACATAGAGGAAGATCTCGATGTGCTCTCGCAGGTCTCTGACAATGCTAACCTTGACAAGCCTGAGGCTACAAAGGCCTTAGAGTGCGGTCGCCATATCATTCCGGGAAAGCAGGTACATGCTGGCAAACAGGCGGCTTTAATTGCTGAGTGCCTACCTATAGCCGTTCATACTCGGCCAAGAGTAGCACATCGAGTGGGTATGTCCGTTTGTTCCGCCCCTGGGCATGTAAGGCGCGAGTTATTGTCTCCCCCATTCTCGTGGAAAACGATTTCGCCACAAACGATGAAAGAAAGCAGTAGATGCCTTCGAGAACGCGCTTGCTGGACGGTTAGGCGCTCGTGGCAAACTCGGCAGGACTTTCTTGGCGAGTTGAACCTCGGTCAGTGTGACTGCAATTCACGAAATATCCAGTGTTAGACTCGTCAATACATTCTGCTGGCATCTTAAACTTCGCTGAATCAAAAGGAAGTATAATGCAGATTTGGCTCGCTTCGATATCCCCCTGAGATGATCTATTTAGACGAAGAGTTGCACACTGCTATTCTCTCTATATTCCAATATTTAGCTTTAAATGTTTTTGTCAATTGACTTGCTTGGTTCATTGCCAGGTGCAGCCGTGCAATGGCGCGAAACCACTTTCCATTTGTTTTGGGCAAAAAAGCGTCTGTATTTCTGCTGAAACACCGCTACACATTATACCGGATTTCATTAACCCAATTAATATCTGGTGGCCAAAATGGTTTATGAATATGAATTTGCGGTGATTCGCGTCTTGAGAACTATAAAAGCTGGACAATACAATTTTAGTGCCGAAAGCATGTTGCAGTGCATCAGCAAGGCGCAAAAAGGTTTGTCATAAAGGCCCAGTTGTGACTTCAGTATTAAAGGGTTAGGAATTATACTTGTGTGGGCATGCGCGTTCATACACACAGAAAGTAGTCTCGGCGCAACTTGCCTTCATGTCATTCTCTTGGCTAGTTGTCATTGCAGCTTCCCTGATTGTGCCCACCCTTGGAAACGCGGTTTTTTTTAAGGGAACTAAGGTAGCGAAACATACGAGATAGTGCATGCTATCGAACAGAGTCAAGCTACGCGTATGGGTGCATGCTTGCGCTTTCACTCAACTTATGCTCTGTCTCATCTGGAGATCCTCACTGCGATACTATTACCCTGGAGGTCTTGCTGTGTCCTTGTTTGGTTCTGCTATCGCTACTTCTAGAAATTTTGGTCACCAACAGTAATTGCTGCAGTTCCACCGCGGGCCATTGGCCAGGCTTATCCTTTGTAAATAGTGGATGTACGTGGTATATTCCTATAGTGTGTTCTTGTACATTTTTCCATTCCAAAGGCATCTCGTGGAGCGTGTTAAGCCAGGGATGCACAGCTGGGCCACTCTGTGAAACTACAAAATGTGTACAGTGGCTCGTGCATGAAGTAATGCAGCTTATGCTTCAGCCCTATTAATGCGTCGAGATTTGGAGATATAACTTAGGTCTAGCTGAGTACGGGGCATAGTGCAACCCATCTGCCGGGAGCATTAACCTTACAAGCCTCTACCCACGCGCGTTTTCCTTTGCACAGGGTAAGCAAGATCATCTAGTTGTTTGCTGCCTAACGCCTCTGACTTAGCGGCCATGAAATCACATAATCCTAGGAGCAGTTTTAGCATAGCATTTTGCACCATTTATTGGTTAGTGGCTATGAACAAGCCCCAGAATTGCCGTCCCCACAAGCAACTCAAGGGCTGCGGCCCGCCAAGCCACCGAACTCACTAGCTACAGCCGTTCGCACATGAGTGGCACTCTCCTTTGAAACAATACAATTTTGACGTCTAATGAAGCACTGATAATGTTCAAATACTGGAGACTTTTTGGTGCTGAGTGGTACGCGCTGCGAGGTTACTGGGAACCGAGGCTTGTGCAGACCGCAGCAAGATCACAGAAGTGAAGTTCTATGGCGGACTACTGGCAGCTTCACTGACTAATGAAGACGAATGCGCTCCCAGTGCTGAGACTCTCGGGCACGGCGGCATATTGAAGCCCTGTCGACTGCAGGGGCGGCACGTAGGGCAGCAGGAATAAGAGGCACTCAGCAGCCCTCGGTGAAGCGGCATGGGGGCGGGACACATTTGACCGGCGATAAAAGCAGCGGAATCTGTGCCTCGGAGCATCGGCAAATGCGCTTGGCACTTCTGTGTCGACGCATGCTGCAAATGCACCGGAGGCCATCGGCTACACTTTTACCGAGTCATAATAGAGCTGGTGCATATCCATTCATTTCCTCCAATAGGGCGCTGCCAGTGCTCTCCCTGAGCGCTACTTGGGGAGAAAACTGAGAGTTGATGGTACAAGGTCGTGAGCTGATCTAGATAGGTGCTAGCACTTCACACCTGGATAAGATGAAAGGCCGGGCCTCTCCGGCAGATTTTCCCAAGGAATCTGATGGACATATGTTGAATAAGAGCTCTCGAAGTGATGACTCAGAATCCACTTTACCCCGTGAAAGGTGTACTCCATGTAAAATCGGTTTCCGCTTAATGGAGGGGCCGCCTGATTTTTTCTTAGCTACAAATCCATCAGCTGAGCAGCTTCAGGCATTCAAGGCATTTTCGGCGAATGCGGCGGTGATTAGACACGAGCATCACAAGGGGATCCAAGAAAGAAACAGTGGCTCAGGAGCAGAAAGTGCGGCCCCCACCTCAACTCGATCCATTCACCGTTTCCGAGGTCCCAGCTGTAGTCGTCCAGCCAAAGAGAACACATCGTCGACGGCGTCAGTACATGCAGATAATGACCATACAGTGGAAGCTTCTTTCATGTCGCGGGCAGGAGAAGCGTCGCCACAAGCATGCCCAACAGCAGAGGATACGTACCCTGAGGTACCTGAGCTCGGTGGGAGCATCCGCCTACTGCGCTACTTGCAGGGCTATGAGTACAACGTCCCAGCTGCGAGCGAAGCCTATCGTCGCCATATGAGATGGAGAGAAGAAATGGGCATTTGTGCCGGGAAGAGAAGGGCAGTGGTGGTACGTTCGGGTTTTCCACGTTTCCTTGGTGGCTGTACCGATGTTTTTTTTGTCTTACTGAGGCTGCTAATTGTGATACTGAGCCCGCAGGAGTCAATGCTGCTCCCGATGCACCCTGAGGCTGCTCCCAGCCATGCCGACGTCACACGGTTTTTCCCCACGAACCCCGTGCTGCGTCGAAACGGGGTGAATACTTCGAGCACCGCCAATTGTGATGCAACAGCGGCACCTGTTAGCTTATCGGGGGAAGGTGATTTCTTACTGCACGCAATGAGTGAAAAAGCTATTGAGGCGGTGATTATGGACAAGCAAGGAAATATAATCTCGATAGAACGCCCAGGTTCGACGCACTGTGTCAAGCACCACTGGCTACACATGTGTATGGGCTGCAGATGCGCCAGGCTAGAGCTAGACGATCATTGTTGTCCGTTAATTCATTATTAAGGCATAAGTCCTAGCTTACCGATACCGGGTCGTGGGCGGGAGGTGGCCAGTTGCAGTGTGAGAGGATTTCGATTCACATGTTTGTAATTCTGAGACTTTGATCTAAGGGTGACGATGTATTACGTGAGTTCCGCTTCTGCAGGGTTGCTTGACGTGAACGGCCTCTTCTCAGTGGTTTCGGAAGACGATTTTCTTCGATGGCATTCATATATGCTGGAATTCCGCTGCATGTTGCTGGACGTGTGGGTATATTGTGCTTTGCTGTAAACAGGCTGCCGCAATATTTTTTTCCCTCAAGATCACTGAGGGACTGCAGTGATGCCAGAGCAGAATATCTGACGCAGCGATAGAGGAAGCTTTGAATGTATAATGGATTCAGGGTCCTTCGAACACGGAAAGTTTTCCAAGTTATGTACGATTTGTATGAGATTAGCTCTGTATTTTGTGTTTCTGTCCTATTGAGTCGCTTTGCTGCAGATTGTCCCGCAAATTCAACCGAATGGTTCGCATAACGTCAATAATCGACTTGCAGGGGCTCTCTACGCGGCTTTTGAATCGACGGGCTCTGAAGTACGAAGTTAGAAGTGGGGTTCGCTGTGCAAAGGGGCATCTGATCAACACCTCATATTGCCTTTATTTGTAACGAAATATGTAATTAAATTGAATAGGTCTTAGGACAACTGCTCAGCTGGAGAGCGTGTTTTTCTGCCTTTTCTTTCCCCCTGTATGTTCCTTTAGTTTATTGAGGAGAACAATTGCCACGGCTAGTGAAAACTATCCAGAATCTATTGACACGATGTACTTCATCAACACCCCGCGAGCCTTCTCAACGCTATGGTTGGCAATGCGAGGATGGCTCAGGGAGCGTACGATCAACAAGATTCGCCTGTTAGGTATGTGCCTAGCGGTTCACTGGTGCATTGCTCGTGGTGCTGCTTCCCATGCACGCGATGAACTTGTAGTGCATGAGATTAACTAGGGGCCCTTTCCATGGAAAGTACATTCGTGGTGTCTCGATTGTTCTGTGTTTGCCTAGCAGGCACTGACGCTGAATCAGTCCTAGTGAAGAATATCGGAAGTTATGCACTGCCTACGTCCCTCGGAGGTTGTTGCACCTCTGAGCTAGCCGATTTTCCTCAGCTGTACGGTGACACATGCTTCTGCATAATGTGCTGCTGGAATTATGAACGCAAACTTGCTGTTGATATGAAACAATGATGCCTGTCCACTTGATAACAGTAGCGTTCCTGTTGCATGAATAGTATCTCGTCAGTAAATCCTCGTGCTCTGCAAAGAAAAAAAACCCGTTCAGCACATGCGGGATTAATTTGAAAGTCTTGCAGCTTGTGGATTTCGTACGGACATATTGCAAGTTCGGGGGCTGGTGACCCACAGTTAAGCCTTTGTAATTGTGTTTTTTCTATAGGGAGACAGATCTAGGACCAGGAAGTTTGATATTAAACGTGGCGGCGCGGCGATGCAACCAAGCAGTGGAAGGCGTACGCACCAGGCAGCCACTTCTCCCAAGCGAAGCGCTTTTTGTACCTTTTTGTGGGCTCTCTTCCTGTGAACGACAGAACACGTCTCACACCATTTTTCAGAACTTGCCTTTTAGTGAACAGGCATGCTTTCCACCCCCCGAAAGAGCGGTCGTCGTAGACCCTGTACATTGAAAGCTGCATTACGTGTTTCCTCCTCTTAACGGTGGATTTTTCAGGTACCACAAAAATCTCTAGTGAAGTGGGTCTGGATAGTAGAAGACTTTGACATTGGATTCAGCGCCATTTGGAGGTCCCAGGTTAGTTCCTTGCAGATTTTGAGTAATATTGTTTGCTGCTCTAACCTACCATGATACTGTATCGGTCGTGCCTTAGCGTTTTGTACGTTTCGGTTGCATTCTGCAGAATGGAGATGAGAGAATTTTGGTGGAATATCGAAAGTATCAGGCTGGCAAGTAGGTCTACGATCCCTTTTTGTCTAGTTTATCAATATTCTCCCTCATTCATGGCATGTGGCAACCAGTGCAGTAAGTTTACAAGCCACACACCTGCGTGCAAGCGCTGCAAGTAACGCTTTCATGAACTCTCACGCAGCCGTATCCACTTACAGTACACACAATAGGCGTTAAATGCGTTGCAGGAAAGTTAGCGGTTTTCTTAGCGCAGAACAAGGAGGCTTTCTGATTCTCTCATTCGACAATTCGTGGGGACTTCTTTCGTCCCGGCGAGTTCGCTATAAAGTCCGCACGGGTTGCTAAGCTACTGGACTTGTAACGATAGAGTAGTCACTGACATTGGGGAACGCATGCTCGTAAGGATAACAGCAGAATAATGAGTTGGGCGCATATCCCTCTACGTTTTGAATGTGCGTCGTTGAGGTGTAGTGGAGCCCCAAGCCGTTGTTGTTTGCTGTTTTATCTGCAGATTGAAATAAGACCTGCCTCTTCGGCCGAAAACGTCCCGTCGCGAAATCCCGCGGAAACTTCGAGTCTAGATTAAGCTGAAAGGGGAATGGTCGTGTGTCGCATGCACATATTAATGTATGCTTACTTCTATTGTGCAGAAAAAGGTGACGTGGATGCATCTGGCTCTTCTGACCTGCTGCCTTGCAATTTGCGCCGTCAGTTGGTGCGAAACTCACGAATACAGGTTTGCAAAGGCTGGCGATACAACTGTTTGTGTTTGGAAGCCATTTGCCTGTACTGCATTGACTTGCACATTTTGAATGCATATTTCGCGCTTTGATGCTTTGGAGCTTTTCACCCTCCAAGGCTCGGGTTTATTTAGTGCTGCAAGAAGGGATGAATAGTGCGATACGCATCCTTTTCGGGCTATGGCGCGAAATTTTTTCCAGCCCTTCTCACTGTAGGGGTCATCACGTAACCACATCGAGTTTTGCTGTCATTAGAGTGATCCGCAATCAGTGGATTCGTGTACTGCTTTGTCCATTGGGCATGTAAAGGAGTTTTCCATGGGCGTCGTGGAAATTCTTCTGCAGACTGCATAGTTTAGCGTATTTTGCTAGGATATGCAAGCGTGTAAAATGCTTTTTTTTCCCGTTTTAAAAGAAAATCAAAGCGCTGGGGAACTACCGCATACACATGTGGGGCCACGCTGTAACATTTGGGTCCCCGCTAGATACGGCTGAACCGGGACAAATAGAACGCAGCCCGATACTTCAATTATTACAGTCTCCTGCGGAGTGTGTGCAGGAAGCTGCTGCTGTATGTCTCCCGCAGGAATAAATTCTCGGTGCGCAACAGATAAAGCTTTTAGACTCCTAATATGCTGAGCGTTTCAGGGGCCCCTTCAATTTCGTTGAGCATGTGGGGGAAGTTATTTCGCGTTGGAATAACATTGGTGGTTATTCCACTCCTTGCAGCAACATTGCTTTTCACAGCAGGACCCTACAATTGTAGGGGTCAGTCTTGCCTTCGAACGTCGCAATGTTCTCCGCTGCCACGTTGGATACGCACCAGCTGGATCTGATTTTGACCACATTTGTGTGCATACAGCAGTTTGTTGTACAGGCAACAAATTGCCACGAACGCGTCCTGGTTCCTCTTTTGCTGTGCGCCATGTCTGTGATCGGCTGGACCTTTTTAGCGCTTGGTTCCTTTTGGGCTTATCAGTGTGTTTTGCGGCTAATTTTTCATGGCCTGATGGCTTACAATACATTTGAGGGCCTTAAAAAGGTTGGGTGGGCTAACATTTGCAATGCTGGGCAAGGAGTGATCAGTTCTTCATGATTTGTGAACCCTGTTGGGGTGGACTAGCCCACACCCTGGCATGTTCTACTACTCGAGTTACATCCAAGAATCGATTTAAAAAGTCGAGTAGTTGGCTTGCCTGTTCGTATAAATAAGTAATTGCAGAGTAGCGCCTTCTCGATGTAGTAAGACGCAACGTTGTGTGCGTATGCGCTAAATGCTCTGTGTGAACAGTGGTGATTGGTCTCATTGCCCAAGGGGCGCAACAGCGTGCATCCTAGCTCTCCCTATCCCCTCATGTCAGAACTCTGAGGGGGGTTAGCAGAGGAAGGAGAAGCGCCTTTGAGAAATTATTGAATGAACTTCTGGCAGGTTTGTGTTGCATGATGTTCATGGGTTCCCTGCGGAGATTGAGGCTGGAAACGTACGCTAGGCTTGCCACACGCGTTCCAGAATTATTGGACGGTGAAATGTCTTTCTCGGATCATTTTTCGTGCATGCGTTCGAGGAAATAAGAATGTTTCTTGGATTTTGGCGACCCTACGTGTGCCAATTTTCTCGTAAAATGTGCGTTATTCGCTTGTTTCGCCAGGCAGTTGCTTTGACGAAGGTGCTGCCTGAGAGAAGGACCAGCCAATCAATCGAAAATTTATTGCTTTGCATGCCTTCTCATGTGTGATTCACTAGTTCGTGTTATGTTTGGTGCTGCGAACAACACACCATCACTTTCGTACATTGCGGGCACCACTACGGAGTCAACATGCTGGAGTGCAAGCAGGGAATGACTGGCATGCCAGTGTTCTGCAAATCTTTGTACCATGCTGATGTCATATTGGGCTTCCTTGAGCAAAAATTTAGCATTCTGGCAGCTTTTAAAGGCTTGAATCATGTGAACTCTCTAAAATGCAGTATTACGACAGGCAGCAATTTCGTTGATACCCAGGACCTGGCGTAGAGCGCCGCCATCTGCTCAAGTTGGTACACAAAGTGTCTGGCCATGCACGTCCACTGTCAAAGTCACCATCCACTTTCACTTAGGCTAGAAGTGAAGAACAATCTAGTTTCAAACCAAAGCATCATGGAATTTCGACTTTGGGAGGGTGCAATTAATTCGCGGTAACCCGGGGAAGGGAATGTCCAAGAGAATGCAAAGTACTCATTCGATGGTCGAAACGAAACCGAAGTGTGCAAGGCCACAGCAAGAAGAGCTGATAAAACGTCTTTAAAAATGCGGGGGGTCGAACTTGCTGTTGTCACGACAGTTTAGGTTCGCTCGGGCCTTCACTAGCGTGCGACAAGCCCCTAACGTAACTCAAGAAGGAGCGTGGCGAGAGGATAATGAGTAGAGTATGTAGAATCTAATGCCAGATATGCAAAAGCGATTTTTCTGATAGCTTGTTCAAGGCCAAGCAGCAACTGGCTCTGGAGAGCAGGGGAAGATCATTGTGGAAAGGGATCCACATTTATACTGTAACTTCTTAGTAAACAAATAGGGTGTTTCTGGCTGATTTTTGAGGGCTCAGCGTGGAGTGCTGGTCCGTCAGTCTTTGACTGGATGAACTATTTAAAAGTGTATGCGTCGCACCGGCATTGCATCTTTCTTTTTATGCCTCTGATATTCTGCCCGAATTGATTCTCCCAGTACCCTGGTACGTTTCTGGGTTCCCGAACATGCCAGAGTTTGGCAGGTGACCACTGCATTTTACAGAGAAGTCAGAAACATCCATATAGCTTGAATATTTTGAATGATCCACATTGCTCATGGATGGTGATCCCTGGGCTACCTACACAACACACTAACAAAATTTTATACCTCTCGAGCACCATCTATTGGCAGAGTGGAGGAATATAAACTGGCTGCGTAACTGCCTCATTTAAACTCCACCTAGATTGGATGTACTGCTTATCGCGCTGCTAACGTAAAAATGGAGTCACTGCGTCTGAAGGGTGATCCTATGGACTGTATCCGGTTACAAGCATCAGCTTTTATCAATACCGCATATGGGGCTGTGATCCACTCTACACTATAGAACCACAAGAAGAGGGAGTAACTTATTATGTACTCCAATGCACAGAGCTATTAGCTTGTCCAGAGCAACGATCTCTGCATGTGGAATAGTGTATCTGCAGTATGAACTACGGATATGTATTGTCGGCACTGTTCACTCACATAGTAACGTAGCCATTCCACATTGGTGCATGCCCCCTGTAGCGCTATTCCATCGGTCCCTGTGAGACAACCTCAGGCAATAGAAGCCTATCAAGCCTTCAGAAAAAATAGAATAAATCTCTTCTAACGATGCTCCCCCTCTCCTCATCCGACAGGTATAGGGACTCAGGAGATCGAGCTGCATGGAACTGCACCTGTTCACCACTCCTACGACTAGCTCGCAGTCTAACACAGGAAGTTAGAGCACACGAACAGGGCGTGAGCTATGTCACGGATATTACCTCCCAATGTGAATAGCCTAGAGACTACCACTACCGAATCCTACTTTTATTGGTAAAATAAGAGCTTAAGAGCATGAAGCGCAGTTGTAACTACCTAGTATAGCTTCGTCCACTACTTCTGGCGAAAATCGAGCAACCCATAAAGGCGCTTCTCACAGTGGAACTGCGAAGAGATGCCCAGCAACTTGCGGCAGCCACCTGAAGCACACAGTGCGCAGTTAGCGTCGAAGACTGGTTATTAATCCAGACACCTAAACTGGTCTCCCATTCCAGAACCAGGGAGTCTATCCGTCCTTGTGGCGGTGCGGATGGTGATAAGCAGGATGACTTGTTTTCAGGAAGGCAATGATGGTGTACAATATTGAGCCTACTCTGGCTCGATAGCGGTGACCTGTTGCATGTAGACGCAACCGTCCCGCATGAAAGCCTGAGGACCCACAAACAAAGGCCTTAACAAAATGATAATGATTCGCGAGCAGTCTATCAACCTAGCTGATGCCGTTTATACATAAGTAAGAAGCAGTGTACCTGTCCATATACTACAAATGGGTGTCCGCAATTCGCCAAGACAGAAGAGGGGTGAATAACAAAAGGCGGCGTACTTGCCGATGTCGGGCTGCAGACAATTAAAGCACGTAGACACGCACAAAAATGCAGTACGAGCATACATATGGCGCGAAAAACACAAAGTGGGCGTTGCCTTGGGAAGAAATGCCCACTAAAGTTACGCAAGGCAGCAGACATCTCCCTAATTTTCATACGAAAAGCAGCGCAACGCAGCGCTTCCTGAGGATCTGCTCACGCCGTATACGGCCGATATATCTGTCTGTGGGTTCGCTGTGCCACATTAAGGCAGAAGGCCGCGGCTAGTGCCCGCAGAACAGGCCCGCAGTCTCCCACACAACTGAGCTGTACAGACAACGCACATGGGAGCAGATCTCGCCATTTACTCACAAAATTATGAATAGGATGCTCCATGACTGCATGCACATTTACTCGATAATGCACACCAAACATTCGCTTACTCCTAGATCAAATTGCATCAGTCAATATTTTCAAATGCATCTACGCAGACAGAAGGGACGCCTATTGCATGCCAAAGGACTCACACAGGGCAACCCTGACAATTGCAACCACTGTAGGAGCATATGTTGCATGTTAGCTGCGCGCCGCATGACTTGCTCGTCAACAAGGTATTTCTCTGCCCATCTTGCCGCCGCTGCGTCGCCGTTTGTTTTCTTGACATCGAAGTACTGGCCAAAGACATTTAACGCGGTTAGAGGATCTCCTTCAATAGCCCCCAGCAACGCCCGACATAGTGCCAGCCGCTGTCGAGCTGCAGAGACTGTTCTACGGCCTTCTTTAGAGGAATCCCCAAGGGATGAGCCGCAGTCCTCCAAAGCAGAGCGCCGCCACACTGGTGGCCCACTGAGAAGGGCGCAAATTGCTGAGGCCTCTTGGGAACAGCCAAACGCCTAAGCACACAAAAGCACCTGATGACTACTCGCAACTTTCCTGCTAATATCAGTCACGTCACACATCTGAAATACAGAGATGCAAGCTGCCGGTGATATTTCTGCGATAGCTGCACCTGGACCCCTCCAGCTCGCCGCACCGGATCTGCAGAGATAACAAGTAGCCGAGTTAACTCAGGGGAGAGGATTCCCCTCGCCATCATGCGCCCAAGTGGCTTTGTAATACGCTGCGCATCATCTATTGCCTGAAGCTTGAACAAGCGCTCCACTGCGTCCACAACAACAGCAGTTGGCGGTGGCTGTAGCTGTGGCAGGCGCTGCAGGGCATGTAAACCCAGCGCCTTAAGCTGCAGCAGCAAGGGCGCGATATCTTCGAAGGCTGAGGCGTCAAGCTCTCCACATGCATCCGCATGAGAAACTGGGCAAGCAGCCGATTCGACTGTAGCAGGTGCAGCCGCAGCAGCAAACGCCGCTGCAGTGCAGAGCCTGTAGCAAGACCCCCCTTTTGTACCCCTTCCCGCTAGAGAAGCTCGCAAGTCCGCGAGCGCCCTAGTGATCGGAACATTGGCTGAACGCTTCAGATTAAGAAAGGAGTCAAATACTAATCTTCGAATGTACATGCAGTCCACAACAAATTCGACGGAAAGTGAAGAAGGCGAGACGGATGGCGGGAAAGCAGCTGACGACAGGAAGATGCGGAGACTCGAGGAAGGGGGCGGAAGACGAGGATCCAAATCTGTAGGCCAAAGAAATCAAACTGAGCGTTGAAAGATCCCCTCACGTATATACCACTGGTCGCACATGCAGGCAGGGGGACTGTGTGGCATGAGTGCGGTAGTAGCCGGAGGGAGCCCAATACATGATGAGTGCATCAAATAAGGCGCACCTTGAGCAAGACAAACGATCTCCACAGGCTGATGGTGCTCGGGCTGTTGCTTCCGTAACATGTATTGCAGGTTTCGCTGCAGCGCCTCTGTGAGAGAAGTAACGTCCTCTGGAGAGGGCAAAAATACAAAAATTGAGCCAGAAGAGGCCAGTCCTCCGGGGGCCCCAGCGGCAGACGCCACTAGCGAGGACACTGCAGCACAGGTTGCAAGAGCAACTGCGGAAGCAGCTCCAAGCACAGCCATACTTCTTTACGCTGCGTCTTACCAGCAGCGCGAGCGAAGAACCAGAAGGTCAGACAGATGAGCAACAGCAGTAACAGGACCTAGCAGTCACTCACCCAAAGAGGCGGCCGCCCTAACAAAATTTGGTGTAGCCTTCTTGAGGTAGCGAACAGCGACGCGGTGCGTTGGTGGCGAGAATCCAATCATGCTAACGGAGGATTCGGCGCCATAAGCCAGCGAAACCGCTTCTGATGGGGCCCCTGGCTGCAAAAGCGGTGGCTCATGCAAACCTTTGTTGCTGGCAGCCAAAGAGGACGGCGTCGGCTCTGCAGGTACTCCTGCTGTTGCTTCTGCTACCGCAGTTGCTTCTGCTTCTCCTTCTGATTCTGCCACGTCACTTCTGCTGACTGAGGGGGGACGTAATGCATGTGACGTGTCGTTGGCGAACCGTGGGGGTGCCTTGGGGGATGCTTGTGTATCAGCGAGTCCCCACGATGCGCCTCCCTGTAGGAGCCCTAAGGCGCTCTTACTGTCAATGCTGTTGCTGCTGTCTATCCTCTGAAGCTTCCGTCGTACCTTCCGCAAGCGTTGTTGGAGCCGCCGCTTCTCTTTGGTTTTTACCTTCTTCCGCTTTGAAGGGCCCCCACTGGCGCTTCTTTCCTGGCCCTCCGAAATTCCCAGTACTATAACATCATCCGACGAAAGACAGGAGATGCTGCTCCTTCTGCTGGTGCTGCTGCTCATACATTCAATGGGGTCAGGCACCTCGGGTACTTCTGATGGAGCTGCCGTCTCCTGCACCTCTGAAACAGATGAGCTACGCTGCCTCTGCGCCTGTTCATCCTCCCGCGTGGCACTCCGCTGCGCTACCTTTACATCCCACCGCTTACTCTTTGGTTGCAGAAGACGCATCAGCAGTTGTTGCTGCCGAAGCACTGCAGCGCGGAGGACCTCCAGTGCACCCCGTGGCGACACTGCAGCAGCCTCTGGTGCTGCCGCATCTTTAGTATCAGCAAAAAACTCGCCCAGTTGAAGGGCCCACTGCGGCTGTATTGAAGCAGGGGGAAGCAGCAGCAGCAGCCGAAGTGTCGGCCTTCTTTGCCTTACCTTGCGCAGCAGAGGAAGTAGCAACTCGGTGCTAAATCCGTGCAGCAGAGACACCTCAAGGGCAGCGATGCAGCATCCAGGGAGCAGCGGCTGTTGCAAAAGTCGCTGGAACAGCTGCCGGGTTGTGAGGTATATGACTCTTGGAGGGGTTCTGCTGCGGGTGCTACCCTTGGTTGTATGGATGCAGGAAGCATAACAGTTTGCGCCCCAGGCCCTGGCTGCCGCTGCCGCAGAATCTACTGCAGCTGACGTTTCCAGAGCCACAATGATGTGCTGCTGCTGTAAGGACTGCTGAGGCGCCCATTCATGTTGCAGCAGCAGCAACGGGAGAAGAACGGAGCAACGGGGTGCAGCAGAGCCATCTGCACCCCCGAGTATCAAAACCACACCGGAGCGTTCCACTGACGCCAGAAGCGGCAGTTGCTGCTGCTGCCACCACCTGAGTGACGAGTCTGCGACGGCATCGGCAGCCGCAGCCGCTTCGCTTTCTGCACCCTCAGGAAGCTCCATTTATTGAGCTCCACCAGTTCTAAGCACAGCCCACATCTCCTAGAAGCGCCTTCTGTGGACTAGACACGCTCATACATAACGGTTCCGTGCTGCTGTTCTTGTTCCTTCTGCTGCAGCAGCTGCTACGAAGCTCATAGCGGGCGGTCCAGTGTCGCCTACACACACCACGCTGTGAGCTTCGCGCTCAATTTAAAACTCAGTCGCGCAATAAGCGGAGGACTCTGATGCAACATGCGAGCCCGAAGTGTTACCTGCCCTAATTTACTTTAGATAACCTCCAGGTGCCTCGAGGCGTCTCGTAGGCGTCACTCGGGGGGTCTGGTTACGGGGCCCCTCCTACGGGGCCTCCAAGGTCTCTCTACTGAACAGATGGCTTCTAACTCATGAAGAGGAAATATCTTCACCTATTTTGACTTACTGGGTAGATTTAAAAAGCTTACGCTTAGGACGTCTCCTGGTGTTCGTATTTTTGCTGGACAGCGCCTTCTGAGAGAGGTATTCATCTGACCTGGCGTTCTCTTTGGCTTCTCCTGCGTTCCCAGAGCAAGCAAGCAAATCTCGTGCTCCCATCAGCAGGATCCCATGCCTCATTCGCGAAGTAACCCTGCCTATTTGCGCACTTCGCCTCACAAAAAAGTTCGCCCCTATGTCTGAGACTTCAGGAGGTAACCCCAATAGCCCATGGGTCCCAGACTCGACGGGGAACGGCTCCCGGGAGGATGCCATGCCAACTGAGGTGTATGGACACCCAATGTCGGTGTTTCTTATGCCTCGCTATCGGAGCTTGTGCCTTCTTGATACAAAGGGGGAAGCGGAGCGGAGAGAGGCCATACAACAACTAAGGGCCCAGAGGGCAGTCGAGCGCTTTCTTAACGATGGATGTCTCGTTAGAGCAGCAACTATGGGGGTTGGAGGGGGACTTCTTGGTGGGTCTTAATCCTCTAGGGTTACGGTTTGCAAGTGTAGGACCCCCTGGTTCCGCTTAAGCCATTTGTACGTATATCGTATTTCACCGGTCCCGTTGTACGCCCTACACACTCCAAATAGCCTGATATGTCTGGTATCCTCAGGTATTCTTTTTGGCGCCTTCTTCTTCACGATGAAACCTGTCGATGTCGATACCACTCTGGGATTTAGGGCACAACTGCGGGAGCAGTACAAGTCCTTTGTTCCAGAGGTGGCTTCAACAGCGAAGAACTTTGCAAAGATCGGGGCTTTGTTTTCTTTTTGCGAATGTATCATCGACAAAGTGCGATATCTATCAAGCACATGTAGCGCTGGGCAGGACCCTTATATCCGCTTTAGACAGCTTAAGCTCCATTACTGGGAAGGCTATGCTTTCATGAAATTTCTGGAGCATTTTCTTTGCTTACCCAGTACTGTGTGTCTGGAATCTGCGTAGTGGTGTCTACTTTCTCCCATCCCCTAGCCAGTCTCGCCGCTTTCGTGTGCACTACCTTCGCTTAGTTCTTATCCTCCAGCCTCAACTGCTTAGTGAGAAGCGCTTCCCTCTGCGCCTCTCTTTTTGGCCACAGGGAAGAGCAACTCATGACCTGCGAGGAGCTGTTTATGGTGGTTGCCTCACTGGCGCCTTACTGGCAATCAAAGGTAAGCCCTGAATACTTTTGCGTTGCCGTTTTGTGTTGGGACACATGGTTTTGTATGGGGGCGGCTCATTATGTTCCTACCACCAGATATCCCCTCCAACCGCTCTTCGCTCTTCGGCACGTTTGTTGCTTTGTGCTCTCGCGTAGATGCCTCCTAGCGTCTTGTGCTACAGTTCAAAGGAGCACTTCCCGTGATACGACCTACTCTGCTACTCCTATTTTGTTATAGATATGTACTGGCGGCCGCATTCTCGAAATAATATGGCCGCTGCGGAATCTCCCTGTATCTCCGTATGCAAATGTACATTTGGCTTGTGCTTGCCCGAGCACCTACAGCTCTATGTATCGCTGACCCGTATTATGAAAGTTTTTGAACAGTGAACTGTCTATCTGTGTCCATTTACCACAGGCGGACCCAGGGCAATGATTGGCGGCAGCCTGGGGTTTGGAGCCTTTGCGGTTATTATGGAGCTACTTCAGCCATTTGCTGGTTTCGACTCATAAGCGCGAACAGGCGCAGCGGCCTTGGACAGCATAACGCCAGAACCCGCAGCAGCAGCACGGATGAATGTTCACTGGTTCTGGACTTGTAGGGGCAAGTTACCTGCAAACCTGCTTATTTGAATACATTCCTGTATTCCACTTTGAGGATCGTGTACGCCCACGCCGCAAACCACCTTTTCAACCACTCCGTTGGGGGGTTTGTTCCATATTGACGCTACAGCTTTTGCGTAACAGACCGTTCGCCCCGTTCGCTGCCGCCCTCCCAGACAAAGTCGAGTCTGCCACATTTCAATCGGAGGAGGCGCCTCAGCGCTTCCAGTGCGTTGCTTGCGGGTCGGGCAGCCACCTGGAAATCCACACCACGCCTTAGTCGCATGAAGTTTAGCACTACCCACGCCAGCAGCGGCGCCAATATTCATGAGAGGGAGCAGTGCAAACCTGTAGCTGGCTGTCAAGCCCCGGCGGTGAAAGGTTCCTTGCTGGTGTTCAGCTCCGTCATAAACACCTGCACAAAATGCATCAGATGAACACAGACCGGTTGTACTAGTGGTCGCTTCAACAGTCGTTGCTACCCTGCAACTGACGCTGTGATTGCTGCTGTAGCCACAGTTAGTGTTTCTCTCGCGGCTACTGCTGAAGCTGCTCACTTTCTGCTAGAGGCTTGCCATCGGCGTCCGTTTTGATCCCTGCAGAGCCCGTGCCACGCCGCAATCAGCCCAAGTGTACGATGGTAGGATCATAGGGTCTATAAGGTCTTTAAGTGAGTGTTTGACAAAAAATATACAAAAAGGTGGCCTTAGATATATATCCCGTACCATGGAGTTCCTCTGGATATAGCCAGCGATTTGCCCAAAGGTCCAGCAAACGCTTGGGAGGCTCTGGTGCCGGATCTTCCTGCAGCAGATACAGATTAAATGCGGGACGCAGGAGCATTTGCACAGATCTTAGGCTCTTGTCTGATGTAAAATGGATATTGGGGAGCATTCTCGCACTGAAGGAATCAAGAAACGGGTTGTAGGCCGACTATGAACAATCCTCAATAGTTTCTTGAAGCAGACCTTCATTTGTGCGTCGACTTCGATCGCCTCAATCCGTATCAGAGTTACCCAGTGACGAATTCTGGGCGCAAAACCAATCAATACGGGAGTTAGAGCATACATTAAGGAGGAAAGCAAAAGATGACTCGCCCCTTCACGATGCTTTTTCTCCCCAGGCACGCTGTCCCGTAAATGGGCTTGCTGCAAAGGGAACCCCGAGGTTCGCGGAGAAACCCCGTCGGACCCCCCGTCGTTAAATTCCTCGGTTGTAACTCATCTGTACCGCGATTCTTAGCAACTCGTAGCCATTTACTACCGCAGTTTTGCAACCCTCTCACTAATTCTTTGATGCTTGTGCACTGTTTGGCTTGCCTGAGAAAACGAGAGGATCTCCGTGTCTTCTTATAACGGAAGCTCAAAGTCTCACCCGCCAGCGTCTGAACCACACGTCTTACAGTTTGGAACCAGAAATTTGTCGGTGCACAGTGGTCCGCCCCCTCGTTGCTGCTAAAGGCAGAAAACCAACCTGTTGCTCAATGACGCCTTTCACTCGCGCAAATGGAATCCTGCAGTACAAAATCAGTCATGCAAAAACCTGCCTGCTCCAAACCATGAAAAAATTTACTTTGCCTCCCGAGTTTAAGGGGGGCTGTTGCACAAGCTTGGGCAGGCGAGTTTTCGACACGGAATTGAACTATGGTACATCCTTGAGGCTGCTCGGAACATGGCAAAAGCATTGCGCCTCAACGAATGCACTTAAAAGGGTAGTAATCGGACGTTGGCTTTCCGAGAAGCGTCCACTCGCGTGTGCCGGCGAGTAGGACCGTCCCAAAGACGACTTTATCTCCTGCGTGCACAACCGAAAAAGCAAGAAATCTCTGGCTAAGTAGCGTCTTATGTGGCTTCGAGTTTGCTTATGCGAGCTACAGGAGTGGAACTCACAATGCACATACCCGCCTGTTTCCTGTGAAGCTTTTCAGTCTGAACGAGGTCTCCTACAGTTACCTGCATAACCCACATGCCTCCAAAGCGCACTCTTAAACTTAGGATTAGAGGCTTTTAGGACACCAAGCAAAATAAAGCTCCCGAATCCGGAGCAACCTTCGGTGCGCTTGCTCGTTGCCTTTGCTGGGACTGCACCCGCCATTCCAACCCAACTGGCTTTGGTTGCTACTCTGTTTGCTCGCGCAAGAACACAAATATGATCTAAAGGGTTGACGACTTGCCTTATGCTGGGCAGAAACGCTGCTTTTAAACACACAAAAAATTTCATTGGGGTCGTAGGAAAGGCTGAATGGTGGCCTCTGCCCATGTGCCATTTCCAGCCTCCGGAATCCTCCCACAAAATCAACTGCTGTTGGCTCCTGGTGCTTTTCTGGGCAATTAAGGGGCTGCTGAGAATTTTGCTGGCTTATAGTGTGCTCTTGCTCGCTTTGCTGATCCTCAAGCGGTCGTTCCAAGGTTTGTTGCTGAGGTTTTGATCCTTTTTTGCTCCCGCCGGACTGACGCCCACCCATCTGTGGATGGAGGAAGAGGAGCCATGTAGGTTGAGGCTCCGGACAGTTCGCCAAGTGCTGCCTCCACTTCCTTGCAATGCTGAATTTCTTCCGAGACTGCCTGACACAGTGCAATGCATGGCACCCTCGATCCTTTACGCTACTTCTTAGCATAGCGACAGCGTACCTAGGCTTGATAGGCGAAGTTGTTGTAAATGATGGACTGAAAAAACGTGCTGTCATTCGCTTCAGTCCTTAACAGGGTATACCCTGAAAACCTGTGTTCTGGGGGGCTGACTACGAAGGCTTGGCGGCTCTGCCGTATTTCCTTGCCTGGTTGTTCGCTTCCATCTCAGCTGGAGGTCTCTGTAAGCCTCGAAAAGTGTAAGGTCTTGCTGAGGTGCCGCAGGAGCTGACACCCCTGGAGCTACGCGCTCTGCTGCTACTGCTGCCGCTGCCACAGAAGGGTGCAGCGGAATTTTGGGGGGCAAAAGCCGCCTCCGCCTATGCTTTCCAGAAATAATTTCCTGTCACAATCGTGGGGACACCCCGTGCATGAGGTCTCAGTAAAGAGGAGAGCGCTAGTGTCGCTTCTAGTTCAGCGTTTGCGGCTATAATTTAGCGTTACACACAATGGGATGCAAGTATCTGCACGCCAACAGAAAGAGGAGGATTACAAGTTTACAAAAGTCGGGGCTTAGCAAAAGGTGCTTTGGAGTATGGCATACGAGGCGGTGTCCAACGACCTTTCTCTGGGGTTGGAACGCGATGCAACGCGACGATCTGGGAAGAGCCAGGGAGGATTCGTGCGGCAATGTCGGAGGGGCGAAGGGGTTCTGCCAAGATATTCTACGTGTCTGGTGAAGCGCTGTACAGGGGAAAGATTCAGACGCTCGTGATTTTTGTTGCCACCGGTTTTGGTGCAACGACGACTGGGGCTGCTGCGGCTGCTGCAGCTGCAAAAGTGGGGAAGGGTCGAAAGAAGAGAGCCGTGAACGAACGGAGGCACCGCCACGGAGGGCGGCAGCGCTCTTGTAGAACAGCATGCCCGGAGACTTCAAATAAAGGCCTCGGGGCCCCTTGTGGGGTTGTATATGTATAGAAGGACGGAAGTAGTGCGGTTCGCAGTACGCTCAGTGGTTTCGTATGGAAAGTACCATGAAAAGGACAGATTTGAATGTAATGCTGCATTAACGGTCTGAAGCGCAAAGGCTAGAGGCAGCAAGGGGCCTCCTTGGGGCCCTACATATTGCAGGGGACTTGGCGAACGAAAGACGGAAGCACCAGGGGAGCCTAAGGGCCACAGAAGGATAATGACTAACCTGGGGAAGGAAGCAAGTAGTGAATGCTTTGTTGAGCTTGATGTAAGCAGTTCTCAGTATATCGTGGCATCCTCAAGACGCCGTCCTGTGCCCCGGAAGCCTAGAGGTACCTTGGGCCCGCAGGAAGGGCAGATCTGTGCGGAAGCACACTTACCACTTCTCGAGTGAAATATTTCCCAAGAATTCATACGTCCCAAATCAAGTATAATAAACTACTGGAGTTTCAGGTGGCGCGCCAAGCTTGACTTCAGATCCCCTAGTGAGTTCGCTCTTGCGCAGCACGGCGGCAATGCGTAGGTCTGGATAAGCGGAACGCCGCCAGGACTCCTTAATACGGGGAAATTAATTTTCCTATGAGTTTGGGTGGGTCTTTGTACGCTTGGGAGGTAGTCTGGGGAATATAAACGGCCTGACAGTTACTCTCCCAAAGTATCTGAAAAACCCCCATTTCAATAGCAGTAAGCAGATTTCTGCAGAGCCGTAACACCAGGCCAGGATCCCCAACACTTTCACCCTTTTACATCAGTTTAGAATGCTCTCATTTTCCATAGCACGTCAACTTGTGTTTTATTGCGATCTAGGGAACCTAAAAATTGCCAATTCTTGAGCCACGAAGAGAGCACGGCATTAATGATCAATCTTCATCTCAGTCCCTGAGGGCTCCCAATAGGCGTGGCTCACATTGCATAATTCTCGCTTCTGATATGGTGTCCACGGGATAGCAACACTGCCAAAACACGTGCATATCCTCCAAGGTCCTCCCAGCCGAAAGCTTCCAGCATTTTGTTGTACGCTTAGCTAGCCTACACACATACACAGATTAAAACAATTTGATTCCATGGGATTCTCAAGCCTCGCTTCTGCATTGATTTGAAGGCGCCCTCCTGGCCTTTTCTCCACTTTCTATGATATAAAGCCCAGCTTATTCTTTCGACTAAGTGGGTCATTCTTGGTCCATCTGAAAGCCAGAAAATTTATTTCAGCGTAAGTAGAGTACAATGGCTTCTCTTGCCTACCTCTCATATATCCTGATCAAAAGCTGTCATGAAAAAGCGCTGATGTTGTTGCTCTCCTGGTTAAGCCCAGTAGACCATTGACATAGCACCCGCTCTGCGTTTTGTTCCTTTTGTACATAACACTAAAGAGGCTCTATAGAAATTTACAAGTACTTGATTGTTGCATTCTTGGGCTCTCACAACATAGAATGATTCCATGGAAATTGTCACTGACCTTAGTGTGTACACAGGTGATCGCCGAGTAGGAAAGTTAATTCCGAAGTCATCATTTGTACTCTATCGGACTAATTTTTCGTTCCAAAAAAGCTGAGTGCCCGAGCGATTCCTTTCTAAGAAGCCCCGGTGCCTTCCTTCGCGTGTAATTTGGCGGGCCTGCCTCTTGCCGCTCCTGTTCGATCTTCTTGTACATAATTTTTGCAGCTGGATTACGTTTTACTCTACGCATTAATCTTTACACAATGCTTCAGACAAAAGGATCTGTTGCTGGTACCAGTGCCCACATTCCCAAAAGATATACATCATATTGCATAGGCTTCCTTGCAAGTGTATCAACTTCTTATTTGTCCGTCATACATGGAGTTTCTAAGTCCCCTTCGAAGCTTGCTCTACGCAGAATTTTGCAGGGCATAAGAGGTGTCTACTATCTTGTACCAGCTGATGCGTTCACATCATTTGTGCCAGTCAGCGTAGGATGTTTCTTCTGCTGAAGGGTAGTGTTGAGCTAAAGTGAGGTTTAGGGTCCAAGATGAATCGAGAGCACTACATGCAATGCCCGTTATCAGCCCCTTCCAGACCAAGATAATAGGTTTACTTATGCTTTACTGCTTGAAAGATTCTTTACACATTTCCACCAGAAAATGGCTGAAGGGTCTCAATTCGGGACACCACTAGTTTGATAGGGAATTATTGGTGGCGACTAGGCACTACTCCCAAGTTATGCCTATGCATTAGTTTGACGAATTGCATTACCTCGGTTGTTTAAATTTGCTCATGTCGTGCGGCTTTTTTCCATAGCTATCTGAGTAGTTGAGACATGATTCTGTGATCAATTTAACGCTTGATACCTCAGTTGGGCGAGCTTTGGAAAGGAATCAGGCCAGCAGCAAAACAATGGACGATCAGGAGGATCTAAAGATTGAGAAAACATGAAATCGTGGAAACCTCCATTCGGTATTTCCACTGACGATATCCCATTGTGGCATTCACCCTTCAGGAATCCTCCAGCTTTGTAGCTACTCCTTTTTTCCAAGCACTGCATTTTGTTTGACCAACCACCGTAGGAGGTTCTCATGGACTAGTACAATACTGTGATAAATTATGTTACTTGGTGTACTTCTAGTTAGCAAAAAGCAAGCACTGAAATCAAACATGCATTTGTTTGAGCATGAAAACTCAGCGAGCCATGCTTATTTCAAATGCGTATGGCTTCTTTGGGCATGCAGGCCTTGATGTAATTCTAGTGCATACTGTAGACGATACATACCAAGCCGTCATTACTTTACTAACTAGGTCACCGTTCAGACGCCCTTCTGGAATCCTAGCCCAGAAATATTTGGGCGTGCAATGTGTGTACATTCTGTATATCCTCGCTTTTCAATGATTGTATGCATGACTATGCAGAGGATCTACCTTGCAAGTGTGCGTGCACTTACGTGCACCATCAACGCTCTATCCAGTTGGTACACAATTTGGATAACCCTTTAAAAAGTACATCTATAACAATTTTATATCTAGCCCGCACAGGGATGGCGTATGGAGCAGACCTTTTCTGATTACATTGTGTGTACCGCTCTTTTCTGAATTGGAAACATTTGTCCAATAGCAATCTCACTGAATGAGAACTTACGTCGGTATAGGGGTAACATTGATGCGCTTCGTACGGGCAAATTACTTCTTTATTTCTTTCTGCAAGCAAGTGACAACCTATTGCTCTTTTACACTAATAGCACCATCTTATCTGGCACAGAAAGCATACATGCACAGCTTGAAATTTGGAGCGACCCTTCCCTGCTCCAGAAGAGTTCTCCATTCACATGCAGACCATCTCAATTAATTCAACACACACAGTAGGACTAAAGCCAGTTTGAGGAATGTAGAGAGCACCATTCCATAACAATTTTAAATTGAGCGCACTAAAGGTACTCTGTTGAATTGCTGGAAAGGAAACTGCTGTACTACTTTTATTGATCAAAACACGTGCAAACGTTTTCTTCGCACCAAAGGTAATGATATTCTTCTGGCCCTGCGGCAAGTCAGGGGAAGATTATGCGTAAGTTGAGAGGTGCGTGGCGCAGCCCTCACACTCGTCAACACGTGTAAATCTGGGACTGTTAAGTGGTTTCCAACTGTGATTATGAGCAACGGATGCCTCGTACATGTTCCCTGCTTTTTACGTTTAAATATGGGCAGGTGATGGCCCACAGATATAAACCGTTATACGAATAGAGCATTAATTTTTTAGCTGGAGCACACCCAAAGGTGATATTTGCGATTTGCGCTTCTGCGCGCCCCCTGTGAATTTGCGTATTGGAGATCGTAGTTGACGGGGAAAGGGGAATACAATTTTCCGTATTTGCATTGTCAGGCTTGAAGAATTGGCGTTAAGCTCCGTGCAGTGTTTCAAAGAGCCTTGCACAGTACATGGCCTTTGATGCAGCTGTCCATGTAAGGGTTGGTAATTTGTGCACATACTTACCCACAACTCGTGTATCAACATAGAGTAATTTCAGGCCCTATCTCGGTGCAAGGTGTCTTCCTCACGCCAGCATGTTTTGTAGTGTAAGTCCAAGAATTCTGCTGGCGCTCCATGTTGCGAGGCTCAAGCGCAGCGGTTTTACTCTTTACGGACCAAATTCGCTTCGACAGGGTTCTTCAACGAGCCTGGTGACAACAAAAGGTGTATATCGCGGGCTGTGCTGTAGTATACACATTTCGCAATGTGTTGGGGCTTCGAAGGTTCCAGAATACAACCCAGAGCCGTCGACATGCCACATGGTCCGCGCTGATCTCCAGCGGCTTCACGGATGTCAGTGCATCAGTGCATGCCCCGTTAAGCAGCAGCAAAATTAAGTTATCGATTTTGAAAATTAAGTTTAAATGTCGTGGTTGTGCCCCTAGTGCATGTGCAAGTAATTATGGAGTAATGTGTTGGCTGCTTGCCGCCTCAAATGCGCACGATTTATTCAAATGGAGCATCCCACTTCTTACTCGAGCAGCTCTTGCATGAGCTCCTTTATTCGGTAGGTGACTGAAGGGCACGGTTAGCTCAACAAACCGCGCAGTTACCGTGAGGAGTGCGGAGGATCACAGTCGCACCACACTCCATACTCATGCGATGCACATGCGACACTACCAAGGAAGGCGTTGCGAGACTGCCAAGAGCGCTGGACAGTCCAGCAACGCCTTCCGTACAGATGAACGCACCTGTTATTGCGTGCATCTTGTGTGGGTTCGCTTGATACCGCGAGTGTGTCTCCTTTCTGGTCTTTGTTAGCCCCACTTCGCACAACAGTATGAGCCTCAAGATGTCCATGATTAGGATTTTTCAGAAACGATGCAAGAATTAGGTACCTATACTGCCTTTCCTGGTCGAAGTCACGCAACGTGGGCCTCCGATACTCCGGACAAGGCGTACAACAAGAAGCATGGATGCTCCGAGATGTTTCTTCTTCATTCACATTTGGAAGAGAACAAGAAGGCTCAGACTTCCAGCCAGCAGCCGTTGATAAATCAGTCAACGCATAACAGCCCTTCAGATAAGGGGCATCAAAGGAGGCACGCACAATCAAATGATCCTCAGTATCGTCCATGGCAGAGACCTCTGAAAGTGCGTCAGAAACGCTGCCATCTGTTGGAAGGGGTCCGGTATCTGTGCTCAAGCTGACGCTACTGGGCCCGTTGTTTCTGGGAAAGGCGATGGCCTGGGCCAGAGGAGACAGAGCGCTCATGGATTCAACAAGCGAGTAACGATTCAGCCTCCATGCTCTAATTGTCCCATGCCTATCAGGGTCTTGCAGTCCATTTGACGCCATTTCCAGTTGGTGTGCCTTGGCCTCTAAGGTGTTCTGGATCTCGAGGACACGCCGATGAAACTTTGCAGTTTCTTCACTCCCCTCAGAAATATAATGATTAGCCATTCCTTGAAGTTCACTGACCAGCGCGCTATATTCAGCTTTCACTTGCTCCCTTCGTAAGAATCGAGCCTTCATTAAGAACTCAAGGTTGGAAAGCCTGTTCTTGACTTCAAATCGCATCCGCATAGTCCTATTCATTGTTTCTAATACCCTCCAGTAAAAAGAAGTCAAGGCTATGTCTCCGTGCTTTCGTGCATCGTAAAAATTGATAATAGCTAGTTCACTCTGCAGCATACAAGGCTCTCTCATCTCTTGCAGCCTCTCAAGCAAGCACGACCTTAACTTTGCGCCTGAGCTGCATATGACATGATAGCGATAGTCGTCCAGATTGCCAATCACAACTGCCTTGTGAAGCAAGTACCTACAGTATTCTTGGTCACCTTGAAAGCTTATACCTGTTGAGTTCTTCCAGCTTGTGGATTCTTCCACTGGGGTAGGTCTATCCATCTTTGTCCTTTTGATGCGTAGAAATACCACGAACGAACGAAGCACCTTAACGCAACAAGATAAGCGCACAAAAGGAGTACCATAGCCTTGGCATCATTTTACTGCTGCTTATAAAATAAAATCAATGCACCCATGCCTCTGAAGTTTGATTCACGGGGGTCCTGCCGGAAGGCGCAGTATTCTGCCCGGTTTCGCGTACCTGGCGAATGTATAACTATGCAAAGACACACGGATATAATACGGCCCGACGATGTCTTTCGAGATAAAAAATATCAGACATGTGGACGGAAAGAAGACCATATCTTTTAGGCGATAAATCATAAGGCCCGATGTGGACACCTACAAGCGGGCTAAGGCAATTTGGCCGAATCACGGGACCTTCCCCATAGAGTAGGTCATGCTTGAAATATTGTACAGTTCAGGTAGTATCTACTGTAGGTAAGACAAAAAATAGTGGCATACAGAAGCCTGTCGAGATTTCGGCGATAAGGACTCTACTTTGAAGTAGCCAATCGAACCGGTAGGTGGCAGTGGGCTCGTGGCTGTTAATCACACAGATATACCTCGCTACATCCTCTATTTATTGAATCTACAGAGCGCTACTTAAAAAGCCTACTTCAGTATATTTATGGCTTTGCCTGTCTATTCCAAAATGTGCAACAAGGTAGCCGCCCAAGATGGGAAGGCTACCCATGGCAGGCAATCGCCTACACTACTTTGGCCACAGTTGGCACATGAAGTCCAAGGATGGCTTCATTAGGCCAAAGGGGTAACTCAGAGGATATTTTGGACTTATGAGCTAAGACAACTGGAAGATCTATAGGTTTAATCGCCTGCTATGTTGAAGAGTTTGCTCAAGACAGTCGACTTTGGCTCAGGTCACTCTTACCTTCGCAGGAGCAACGAGGCTAAACGATTCGCTTTCGCTTCACGGATAGTATTGCAAAACATCATTAACACAACTAATGTGTTGCAGTAATTAGGGTTCTACGACCTGAGAAGATTAAATGGCCATTATTTCCCAGGTTTATGCTGTTTGCCTCACCAGGTGCTTCTTGCTTTGCCTTGTGCGTCGCTACTGCTCGTGCTACCCGGACTACAACTCAGTACTCTTTGCATACTATTTCCTGTATAGCCAAACCTAAGCTCTAACGACTGCCGAGCAATAGTGGGCCGACAGTGAAGCAGAAGTTCCCCTTTGGATATGCTTCAAATTGCCAAAGTGTGCCTCCAAGACAATGTTGCAGACTTAGAGTAGCCTCTATGGCGAACAATCTCGCACTCCCATGGGGTCTCATGAAGTGAAGTCTCAGTGTTCCTCAGCACGATACGTTGAGTTTCGTGGAATAGTCAAGGAAGCTCCGTTTGGCAGCATGAGACCGCATTACAAGAGATCACGATTCAGATATACGAGCTTGAGTATACAGTTGAGGTTTGCATCTCGAAGCAACATGAATCGAGCCAGGCGAGGAGAAAGCTGTCGAGTTGCCCCAAATGTGTTACAGCCAAACGTAATAAAAATGTAAAGACTGTATGGGCAGCTAATCTATAAAACTGATTATACCCGATGTCGCATAGACTGGTAAGCAGAAGCGCACTTGTATGGCCGGCATTCTTCCAAGGCAGTAGCCTTTGCTGGCTGGGCTTGCATGAGACATGCCCAGTAGCTCAAGTTACT